CCGGTAGGGTTTTCTGCAGCCAAATGCACTTGGCTCTTTTGATTCTCAGTTCCAAGGTTCTACCCTGTTCTGGTGGCTTTTTCTCACCTACTCCTACTCCTGCCCAACCAAAGAGACAGTGGTAGCGGTTTTTCTCTACCATTCCCCAAAACAAGCGCATAGAGTTGCAGAATATTCAGCTGGGTGGGGGGGACCTCAGAGAACACCGGACCCGGGCTATTTTAGAGAGGTTCAGAGAGGGCAGCTGACTTGTCCAGGCTCACGCAGCAGTGAATGGTACTAAAATCGGGCCTCCCCTCCCGGCCAGCAGTCCTTCTAGCTACGTCAGACCAGATGGCCATGCCTTTCTTTTCTGTTTCCTTCTCTTTCTGCCTCTTTCTCTCCCTTTCCTTTTTTATTGAACTATTTCCTTTTTTCCCTTTGAAATGTCCTCTTTGTGTTAAGCAGGACGGCTGGCATTTGGTGGCACCAAAGTGGTACTCAGAGCCAAACCTCTGTCCTGGCACAGTTCTCCTCAGTCTTTTCCAAAGGCTTTTCTCTTTCCTGGTCCCTCTTCCCCCAGGATGCTCAGGGGGACCTGTCCTTCCCTCTCCCTGAGCTAGCCTATTCAGCTCCGGTTTCTCCTTCCAAGTACTGAGGAGGCAGATGGGAACCCTCAAGGAATCAGCAACTCTCTGTAACCTTAGTTTCCTGGTCTCGAAAGTGGAGCGAGGGTCTCTGAGGGGGAAACATGGGCACCTGTGTATGTGTGTGCATGCCGGTGCGCATGTGTGCGCGTGTGTGTATGCATGCCTCCCGTGTCCCCCAGCAGCTCCGGCGGGGGGGGTGGGGAAATGGGAAAGTTAATTAGCACCAGGATGAAAGGTGCTGTGGGATAATTACAGGTAATATCAGGATGGCCGGGAGGGTGGGGCAAAAGGCCCCTAGATCTCGGGTTGGGGGTGGGCAGCCCCTAGCCCCACTCCTGCAAGTGGTGCATCAGACACCTGGAGAGGCGTGGGGTGGGGTGGGGGGGTGGAAGGAGCATTCTGAGTGAAGGGTCTTTGTCTTTACAGAGAAATGCTTGTTAGTTGCTAAGGAACTGGGCTCTCTTCCCTGATCCAAGCCTCCCAATGTTTTGCTGAGCTTGGGAGGGGGATGCCGGGCTGGGGCTTGAGGATCCCTTGGCCGCCAGCCCTTTCCCCGGGGGCCTCTGAGACTCTGATGGGACTCCTGGGAGGGACTCTCATCTGGGGTGGGCGGCTCTTTCCCACTCCCCGAAGCCACACTGCTTGCTCCAGCCCAGGTGGGGAGCAGAGCAGGTGAGGTGGAGGCAGGGAAGGAGAGGAAAACACGCCTTCACTGAACAGTCTGCACGCCAAGCACTGCGTCTGGGTGCCTCGCCTGCTCTCTCATCTAACCGGAGTGGCAGATCTTTAAGGAAGGCACTTATTTCCATGCATTTCTCATTATACTGTTTTTTGTTTTTTTTTTTTCAGCTGAAACACAGGTCCAGAACAGTTGAGGAAGTTGCCTGAGGTCATGGGGCTATCAATGGTAGAGAGTCTATGTGAATTAGGGTGTGCTTTGTAAACGACACCACTTAAGGCATCTACCTACCAGGCTCGCTTTCTAGCCCACGGCTGCTCAGCTGTAACCTGGACCCACCACCACCATCATCATCGTCTCGGTCAGGCAGTCTTCCCATATGGCTTTCTCTCCCTCCTTTTCCACCTCTCTCCCTTCCCTGAGAGCAGTAGTCACACAGGTGAGCTTCTTGGGGAGAGGGGTGATTCCATGGGTTGAGGGTGGTAAACTGTTGGGGTAGCCGCGTTGGGCAGGTGTGGTGGGGGGCCGGGTCGGGCTGTTGCAGTGTCCAGGAGCTGGCCCTCCCGCAGATGACACTTGGTCTAGAAGAGCTGAAGCTGGGGGAAGGGCAGATGCTGGGTGAGACTCCCCTTAAATTCGTCCGGGACTTCCAGCCTTCCTTCTCGGCCCACCTGGCTTCTGAATAAATAGAAGTTCTGGCCTTTATTTTATGTAGTGTAGGGAGTAAAAGGAGAGCACTGTGTCTCCCCGACTACTGAGAGTGACAGGCTCAGAGTTAACAACAGACGCCACCACGACTCGTTACGGAACAGGGAGGAGGTTCCTTAACTCCTGGGAATGTCAGTTTCCTCCTCTATAAAATGAGACCAGGAGCCCTGGTGTTATTAGCTTGCTGGGATGGTGATGGAGAGAACCTGCACGGGGGGCCTGGAAGCAGGGCAGGAGTGCGTTACATGAGATACCGCAGAGCCTGGCCTGCAGAAAGCGCTCAGCAAACGCTATCTGATCACGATGATGATAATGTCCGCGCTCCAATCCCTGCAGAGGGCTCACTACATTTCTTAGCCGCTTCGTTAGAGATCTTAAAGCAATCTACGTGCTCATTTTGTTCCTTCCTGGAGGAGGCAGTGAAAAGAAAAGGGGCAGGAGGCCCAGGATCTTGTGCAGGCAGAGAGCGGAGTCAAGGGCGGGTTTCCCGAGGTGTCCCTGGCCCTCATGCCTCCCTTTCCTGGCACTGGACCTCCTTCTCTGTGACTTTGAGGACTGTCTGGCAGGGCTGGCTTCAGCCTCGAGCCCAGGCCAGCTTTGTTCTTTTTTCACGTTTTGGGGCCAGGAGGGTGGGGGTCTCTCCTGCAGCTGAACTCAAAGCCCAAAACACCAGGAGAAAAGAAAAGAGGAGGGGGGGGAGGAAGGAAAGCAAGCCGATAATTTCCTCGAAGGATAAACATCCGATTTTTTTCCCTCACCCAAAATAAACATGCTAGCCACAAGGAATTAAAAGCAGAAGAGGGGAGGATGTGTCTCGATTTGGGGCTGCTCTAGTAAGCTGACCTGCTATTTATCCCGGCCTTGGGCACTAACCGGAGCTGCCAATTACACTCCGGGCCTGGTGGGGTGGGGGCTGCAGGGAGAAGGGCCCAGGGGTGTGAGGTTCACACACACCCAGAATGTCCCTTCCCAGGCTGCCTTCCATGACATTGCAAACGGACACTTCCTTTTGCTTCTCCTTTTAGCCCTGCCGACAAGCTTGCCTGGTGGGTAGGAGAGAGTGGGGAGTTCCTACCGCCCGCGCCGGCATCAGAGGCCCTTCTACAGAACAAGAAGTTAGTGTCCACCACCTGGCGGGGGAGCTGTCTATCAATGTGTGTGTGGGGGGGAAGCGTTGTCCAATTCCCTTCACAGACTCAGTCTCCCACCTCATCATGTTCTTCAGATCCCCCCACCACTCATGTCTTCCAACTATTGAAGATATGCTCAGCTGGGCTGAGGGGTTGGCCAGGGCCCCTCTGCCTTCCAGCTGGTGTGGGGCATGGCTCTGAGAAGGTAATAACCCTGCACCCGGCTGCAGCCTGCTCTTTCATCTGGGGATCTCAAGGCACTGTGTACACATGAGTCACCAACACTGCTGTTTTCTGGCCAAGGAGGAGGGGAGGTTATTAACTCTTGGAGGGAAACTGAGTGGGGGGGCGGCTGGGGAGAGGATGGGGTGATAAGAGGTCTGGAGCTGGGGGTGGGGTCGTCAAGGAACCAGAGTTCAGTGCATGAATGAGACCGCAGCAAAAGAGGTACCTCCAAGGGGGCCTTGGGTAAGAAAGCCAAGTGACCTGCAGAGGACATCCAGGGGAGTTAGGCGCCAAAAATCCTTGCCTCGCAGACACCAAGGAGTTCCTTCATAGTTTTCTAAAAGCATAAATCAGACTGTACTCTTTCTTCCCCTCCAATCTATTTATCATTCAATGGTTTCCATTGCTTTCAGGGTACAATCCAAAATTTCAGCATGGCTGCAAGGCCTGGAGTGTTCTGGTCTCTGCCCATCTGTCCAGGTGTCCATGCTACTGGCCTGCAAGATGCCCTGCGAGCCCCTGCCAGCCCTGGGAGCTCGGAGGTGGTGTTCCCTCTCTTTGGCATGGACTCCAACCCCCAGCCCCATTCGCCATTAACCCTTACCACACTTTTCGGCCCTGAAGTTAAACAGCACTTCCTCAGAGAGGCCTCGCTTGGGGCTTTACTGTGCCCCTCCACCACAGAGCAGGTCTCCTTACACCCTCACAGCATGCGCCACATTTGTTGTCATTTGCCTGTGGTCATCTGATGAACGTTTCCCCTCATCCTGGACTGTAAGCTCTATGAAGCAAGCCTCAGCTTTTGTCTGCCCTGTTCACGTATGTATCCCCAGCACCTAGCAGAAGGTCAGGCACAGGGACGCCTGGGTGGCTCAGTCGTTAAGCGTCTGCCTTCGGCTCAGGTCATGATCCCGGGGTCCTGGGATCGAGCCCCGCATCGGGCTCCCTGCTCAGTGGGGAGCCTGCTTCTCCCTCTCCCTCTGCCTGCCGTTCCTGCTGCTTGTGCTCTCTCTCTCTCTGACAAATAAATAAATAAAATCTTAA